AAAATTATTATAAGTATATAAACTACTCTTTGGGTTTTAACAAAAAAAATTTTTTGCTAAATTTTACTATAAACCATATTTTTTCATATGCATACTATCGTTATTTCACTCTAACCCTAACTAACAAAGAAAAGGGTTATTTTAGTTACGGCTATGGTAGCCTATAACTACAAATATATTAATTTTACTATATAATAAATATATTCTGTATAATTTGTTTTTGCAGATTTTTAAAGTTTATAAAAAGCAATTTATTAAATTTGTATGGCATATATTTTAATTTTCTAAATTTTTTGGCTTGAAATAGCTTATAATTGTTCAAAAATAATAAATTTTTATCACCATACATTTATATTTTAGTTTTAAAAACTTTTAAAATAAGAATTATATGCATTACCATGTTCTTTAAAACTTGCTGATCTTAGCTATTTTGCATATAATCACTACCAAATTTGATCTATAAAAATTTTTTTTTTTAATGCCCCAAAGTTTATAACAAAGACCCTGATCTTAGTATCAAACCCCGAGATTATTACGTATACGGGTATAAAAATTACTTTCTTGATAGTTAGAATAGCTCTTTTTTCTCTATCGCCATCTTTCAGTAGTCCCGTTTCTCCTTTTTTAACGTTATTTATTATTTTAATTTTTTCTTGTTCACGAAAAAAAAATATATATAATGGGAGACGACGAACATCAGCACGATTTCCATGAAGCTGGATCCGGTGCTTCAGCCACCTACCCTATGCAATGCTCAGCTCTTAGAAAGGTATTGATGTATAGAATAAAGGAAAATTATTAGTCCTGTTTACTTACTAGAGTTTTTTGTTTCTAGAATGGTTATGTTCTACTCAAGGGTAGACCATGTAAGATCGTTGAAATGACCACTAGTAAGACCGGCAAACATGGACACGCAGCAAGTATTTCTTTTTAATATATTCTGAAGTACAAAATGATGATAATAACGTTGATTTGATGGTTTCTTCGTTTGGCTAATACAGAAAGTTCACCTTGTTGGTCTCGATATTTTCACTGGAAAGAAACTCGAAGGTGGGTGTGATTTTGAGTTGTGTAATATGGGTCTATTACATGTAATCTGTTTTAACATTGATTTTATGGTAGATATTTCTCCTTCTACTCATAACATGGATGTTCCAAATGTTAATCGTAAGAATCTCTATTATCATTGACATTGTGTTTTATACCGAACAAGAATTTTAATTATGCATTTTGCATACTGTATTTAGGCACTGAATTCCAACTTATAAATATTGATGACAATTACTTGAGCTTGATGACAAATGACGGCTCCACCAAGGATGATGTTCGTGTTCCTGAAGGTGAAATGGGTGAAAAGATCCAATCTGATTTCGATGAAGGTATGTGAACAACTATTTGATTTTTGTTTACGATTTTATTATTATTATTTTTTAGTTTTTTAAATACATATTTCCGGTATGACTTAGGCAAGGAACTTTTGGTCACCGTTATCAGTGCGATGGGAGAGGAATCTGTTATCTCCTATAAGGAGGCACCTAAAGGCACCTAAATGTATGTCTAAAAATTTTCGCATGCTATCGCATTTATTTATTGATGTTCATATTTTCGTTTTATTATAGCCTAAATTAGAGTTTAGAACCGGGTTATAGTAAACCGGGTCATCCGTGTCAAAACGGTTCAACCGGGTCAAAAATTTACAACTCGGGTCAAAATGTTTGAATATGTAACCTCTAAAAATCTGTTACTATTACACAGAAAACATAACAAAATTTAACACATTATTATTGTATTGTGAATAAACACCTTTTTTTTCTTACTAATTTATCTAAAATGTTCAATCCCGCTAATCTGGACTTAAAAAAAAAGTTACAAACTTTTGGAGCCTACTATACGGGCTATCTATTGCTTTGTATAAACCTCTTATTTTCTTTGCTTGCTAATTGTAATACGCTGTGTTCGACACGTTCGACACGTTCGATAGTACCCGGGAATTTGTAGCGCCAGGGTTCGGGTCATATAACGTGATTGCGTTGCATGGATGGCGTGATTGTCGATAGAGTTAAAAGTCTAATATATATATATATATATACGTACTAGAGTTGCTGGTGAAACTGGTGAAACTTGGTGAAACTTGGTGAAACTGGTGACTATCTAAAATCTGATTGGCTATTGAATGCAATAGCCAACCAGATTTTAGATAGTCACCAGTTTCACCAGTGTGATTTAGTTTCACCTGCAGCTCTAATACGTACACACCCTTCGCGTGCATCTATGTGCCCCCCAAACCAGTTTGGAAGCCGGTTCCCTAGCCAATCAGCATCAGATATGTAGATGCTACACGAACGATCAGTGTGTAACGTTAAAATTATCGTTTATTCAAAAAATCGGCTTTATCTTGAAATTCTGCATATGAAACTATCTTTTGCATTATAACAAAAAAAATTCCTTGCAAAATTTTGGTATAGGTATCTTCTAAAGCCTACTTTAATCCTAACACTATCCTTGACCCTAACCTTAACAGTTAACCTTAGTTTTGTTAACGTTAAATGACAACAATGACGATCATTTCCATTTTGGGTGGAGAGTACATAGTGGCTAGGAACCGGTTTTCAAACTGGTTTGGGGGGCGCATAGATGCACTTCACACCTCATAGGACGACATTCATATGATTGGTAGATCTACCCGTGATTTCCCGTGATAATTA